CAGTCTGGATTCAGGGAAAACCATAGTACAACAACTGCTCTAGCCAATGTCACTGATGATGTTATAAGAGGCCTTGACCAAGGAAATATCACTTGTTTAGTTCTGCTGGATTACACAAAAGCTTTCGATATGATATACCGTGAAATTCTGCTACTTAAGCTGTCTTACTATGGTTTTAGTGATGCTGCAGTCAATTTGATAAGCTGCTATTTGTCAAATAGAAATCAAAAGGTCCTAACGGCTTCGAAAATGTCACAGTCAACTGCTATAAGTTTTGGTGTTCCTCAAGGTTCCATACTGGGACCTTTACTTTTCTCTCTATATATATCGGATTTCCATCAATATGTCCATAATTGCACAATCCATCACTATGCTGATGATACTCAAATTTATTTTAGTTTCCAACATAAAGATTTTAAAAATGCAGAAGCATTGCTCAACGAAGACTTAACAAGGCTAGTAGACATCTCGTGCTCGCATAACCTAAAAATTAATCCATCTAAATCTTCAGTTGTGGTTTTCGGCTCAAAAGACAAAAGAACATTGATCGAAACGGAAATTAACCTTAAAATCTATGATTGCCGGCTTCCTATAATGAATGAGGGGGACTCTGGATTGACACAGAACTAAAATAGAAAAAACACGTAAATTCGTTATGTAGTGCATCATACTGCATTTTGAAACAGTTTTATCCACATAGGCAAATAATATCTACTTCAGTAAAGCTGAAACTGTGTGAAACATTAATTATATCAAAGATCAGGTATTGTGACAGTATATATGGCGCAGCTCTATCATATAGTGAACAAAGCAAATTACAGCGTATTCAGAATTCGTGCATCAGATTTTCTTGCGGAATACGAAAGTTTGATCATATTTCTCATAAATTTAAGGAACTTGGTGTTCTGCAGATTAAAGGCATGCAAAAGCTTCACTTATTGACACTCACACATAAGGTCTTAGCTACCAAACAACCACAATATTTGCATAATAAGTTAACACGATGTAGTGACATAAATCAACTGAATAGGAATATGTTAGTGATACCCTTACATTCTAAGGCTGTCTACAAAACATCATTCAGCTAAAATGCTATTAAATTATATAATGATCTGCCTGTTACATTCCAAAACTATACGTTATTTAATTTTAAAAAGAGGCTTAAACTAAAACTACGTCGAGGTCTGATGATGAGTACAAAATGCTAGAAATATGGACTATTCTTGTAATTGTTCTGTTGTTAATTATTTAGTAATTATTGAGTATTATGGATACATTTTTGTTGGTAGAATGTTTTATTATATATATATATATATATATGTTTTTTTTGTTAAGGTTAAGGTTAATTGAAAAACGCTAATCTTAGCGACACTTTTTTTGTACTTTTACTTAGGTACGAAATAAAGCCCATTTATTTATTATTATTATTATTATTATTACTATTATTATTATTATTATTATTATTTGGCTCTCAATTGAGCTTTGAGATTATTTTAGTAGCATTTGCCTGATGCTATCTTGTAATCAGCTTCTTAAATTGTAGAAAGGGCTTAGGTTCACAAAACAACAGCTATAAGATTCCCTGTGCCGGGGAAGAATGGCATGAGTCCCTGCGCGTGTATGGAAAAACGGCATCAGTCCATATGGATAGGAGGCGTTGCACTGGCCGCACCGCTTGGGCGCTTCGTTATTGCATCAGCCATTAGTTTACTATTAGAGTCCACGTGTGTAGTATACGCTGATATTGTGAATATTGACTATATTCGCTAATTTAGTTTACAATACGGGTCTTGTGTATAATGCAGCTGCAAGAGAAAATGAACCAGGCCCATCAAACAAAGAAACGAAAAAACGCAAAAAACAGGAAGACAAAGAGACGTAATGAAAACATTGTGCGCCACTACCCACCAACTTGGATCTGATTGTTTTTGTGAACGTTTTCGCTGTTTTACTACTGTTCCTGAACTTGAACGCTGCAGACTTGCTCGTGAATTTAATGAACCAGGAAACACTAATGCACAAAACGGCTGCTGTACTTAAAAACTGCGCTTCAGCACCGGCCCTACCATTAAGCTTGATATTCACATCGTCTTTTAGATCTCATACCCTACCCTCATGCTGGCTTAGTGCTTCTGTTACCCCTGTATTCAAAAAGGGCGACAAATCCTCCGATAAGAATTATCGACCAATAAGTCTCGTTCCTATCGCCGCCAAAATAGCTGAAAGAATCATATTAGATAAGCTCCTGTCATTTGTTTTCGAAAATGACCTTATCCCTAAGAATCAGCATGGATTTCTCCCTGGTCGATCAATAATGACCAACCTTCTCCACTCTCTCAACGATTGGACTCAGTATCTGGACACAAAGACTCCTGTTGATATAATCTACTTAGATTTTTCTAGGGCTTTCGATCGCGTACCACATAGAAGGCTTCTGTTTAAGTTGGAATGTATGGGAATAAGAGGCGAGTTGTTACTGTGGATTAAGGCTTTTCTCACTGGGAGGACTTTCTCTGTGCGTGTCAGTGATAGCCAGTCTCACCTTCATCATGTGGCAAGTGGAGTTCCTCAAGGCTCTGTCTTGGGGCCAGTGCTGTTCCTTCGGTATACAAGTGACCTGCCCGCATTGATTTCCTCCACATGTTCAGCTTATGCCGTCGACACCAAGATTTACAATACTGTCGTAAATTCTGCTATGCTTCAACGAAATCTTGATATTGTTTGTCAATGGTCAGTCAGTTGGCTTGTACCCTTAAATCTAACTAAGTGTTGTGTCCTTCACCTGGAAGACAAATCCGCGATTTACATACAAGATCTCTGACCACAACATCGAAGCAGTTTCCAGCCACACTGATCTGGGCGTTGTAGTCAACGATCGTCTTTCCTGGTCAGAGCATATTCACCACGTTACATCAAAGTCCAAGAAACTTCTATACATGCTGGCGAGTTTTTTCAAAGGATCCGATGTCAACACTTGCGCCTACATTTACAAGGCGTTCGTGAGGCCAATTCTTGAATTCGCTGGCCCGGTATGGGACACTGAAGATGAAGATCGCCTTGAATTATTCAACCTGACCTCATTCTGTGAGCGAAGACTTCGTGGCGATCTTATAGTTACGTTCAGGATACTTCATGGTTTGATGGGCACCAACCTCATGCATCTATACCGTCTGTCGCGCAGCAATCTACGCGGACACAGCTTCAAACTGCATATGGAGCCATTTAAAACAACAGTCCGACAGTGGTTTCTTCCCAACCGCATATTCAACACCTGGAATAGTTTACCTGAAAGTGTGGTTGGTGCTACTTCAGTTAATAGCTTCAAAGTGCAGTATGATAGCTGGAGGAGTGTACAAACTTTATAGCTACGAACTGTCTTTTTTTATTTTTTTCTATTTGATGTATTTGTGTTACGTGTCCGTACACTATATTTACTGCATGAGCTTATAGTACTGTGTACTCTTCTCATCTCAATTATCATAATAATAATAATAATAATAATAATCTTAGTGGTCTTATCACTATTCTTCCTATCGTGCGTAGAAGTCCTCGAAAAAATGAAGCAAAGTCAAGGCTTAATGTCCGGCCTAGTGTCCGATTGGTTGAAAATGGAATTATACGTGAGGTTCCAGTTTGGCTTAAGGCTTTTTTGTCTTTACACGGAATTACAGTTCGTCGAGTTCGGTACATAAGAGACTCATTAGCTGCAAATGGGAAATCGCCCATCGAAATGCGTGGAAAACACAACACACGACTTCACAAACTTCCAGAAAACACAAAACAGAAAGTGACCGAGTTTATTAAGAGCCCGAAATGCTGCAAATCTCATTATTCATAGGCAGATTCGCAAAAAGTATACCTACCTAAAAATCTAAATATCGCAAAATTTCACAAAATGTACGAGGGATGTCTTTGAGTTTTGCATATAGAAACATAGTAGGGCGCGCGGATCGAACGTCAGTACTGAATCTTAACCTCACAAACATATTTTCAAAATTACAAATTCTACAAAATAAAGCTATCAGAATCATTTTAAATAACAACAAATATACTAGGATTAAGTCTATGCTAGAAGAACTGCAGTGGTTGGATGTGAAAAATTTCATATGTTCTCGTTTTCATGTTCAAATTAAAAAATCATTTATTACCACCACATTTAGAGAACTTCACAAAATTAAATAGTCATTATCATAACTACGAAACTAGAGGCAGCATCGATTTTCATCTGCAAAATTATAATAGTAGCATAACTAGGAAATCTATATTTCAAAAGGGAGTATTTGAATTTAATACATTGAATAATGATATTAAACAGAGTTGGAATTTAAAAATGTTTAAGGTGAAATTAAAAAATCACTTTATGAATAATAAAAATACATAGTGTCGTAATTTTAATAGACAACAATGTAAAATTACAGAAAATGGATTGAAGAAAAGTATATAACCGAATCATTATGCAAAATTGACATTGTAGCACTAATAAATCAACAACAGGACAAAAAACAAAGTAAAAAGAAACGCCTTGTCTAATTTTTTCTTTCTCGAGTAAACCGGGGATTCACAGACTCTAATCTCTCGGTACAAATGCAGCCTATGCATTTCTGCCCCGTGTGAATTAGGGCTGGTCGGGGATTTACCGTTCTTATTCTTTGGGTAGACGGTTTCGATTAAATTTCCATTCGGTATCAGTCTGACGTCTATGCGACACAGTGGGCGACTTGTGGAAACGGATCCAAATTATGAAAGAGAGAAAAAACAAACATTTTATTTTTAAACAATGCGGGATCTCATCCAGAAGACATAGTCCGAATTCGTTGATCAACATGATACACGAAATACACTTAACAAATCTGAAGGTGTTTCATGCAACGTTATAAGAGACGCTAGCTGTTTCTCTATCAGCGATTGTGGAATTCTACCAACCTCACCGTTTTTGTTAGTCGGCGTTGTTATGGAAAGAGGCCGTCCCGTCCCAGGAGTAACTGTAAGTCTAGCAGGAAGAATTATTGGACCATCCTCCATATAGTCCCGATCGAAGTCCTAACGGTCTTTACTTTCTCAAAAATTAAAAACATACTGCTTGCTCAAAGGTTCCAGTCACCAGAAGAAGCAGTTGACGCACTCAAAAACGCAGTTTTGGATCTGCCAGCAAACGAGTGGAATAAGTGGTTCGAAAATTGGTTCGAACGCATGCAGATGTGTATTAATCTTCGTGGAGAATACTTGGAAAAACAATAAAGTCATTTAAAACTACCTACCGTGTTGTTTTTTTCCATACGCGAAACTTAAAACACATCCCTCGTATTCTATTGGTAAGGTTGAAAACAAGTTTTCTCATGAATCCTTCCGAGAAATCTTTGAAAACGACTTCAATATATCGTTCGGTTATCCAAGAAAAGATACTTGTAGTACGTGTGATTCCTTGAAAGCTGATATATCTTCACTTACCGCTACCTTAAATTCCCACACGGAACAAACTAGGCAGTCAACAAGTAATAATTTGAAGAAAAAGATACTTGAGAAGACATTACATCAAAAAAGGAGTGAGCGTTTTTACAGTCTAAAGAGAACTTACCGCAAACGTGCCTCGGAGTTCCCCGCTATCGAAAGTATCACGATGTATTACCAAAAAAACTTGCCCTATCCAAATATCACGACAAATGATATTTGCTATAAGCGGCAACTAAATTTCATCCACATTCTGTCAAACTCAAATTCTATCTTTAATACCTACGATGAATCTATTGCTAAGAAAGGAGCTGACGATGTCTGTTCTATGCTATATCACCTTTTTTATAACATCCTGCCTATGGAAGTAAAAGTACTTGCCTCCTGTGCAGGGTAAAATAAAAACTTTACAGTTATTCGGTTTGTGCATTACTTGATTACCAAGAAAAATCGTTTTACTACTGTGAAAGTAATATTCCCGATCAGGGGGCTTTCATACCTCGAGTGTGATAGAGATATGAGTCTCGTGAACCAAAGAGCATACACTGAGGTACCGGATGACTGGAGAGATGAATTTAAAAAATTTAAAAATTTTGTTTTTCATGATTGGAGCACGTTTTATCTAACGAAGTGTCCCTTTCCAACCCGACCAGTCAGGATGCTCAAGTTTTGTGAACAAAATCCTCACGTAGTTTTTCACAAATCGACATACATGGGCCTATATGCCAGTTCTAAATTTGATAAGGTAATTCGGAAGAATCTAAAAAAGACGCAAATAGATCAACAAAAACGAGAAGACGAAACATTGAGAAAACTTTACCGGGCTCAATCCAAATTAAAAGTAAGAAATGGAAGGATCTACAGGATATGATCAAATTTCTAGAGAGAGCAGATTCCAGGACATTTTATCCACAGTTAATATCATCCAGAAGAGAGCAGTGATAAATATGTCAATGACCCGCCAATAGACGCTTAAAGCAGGGAAATAGTGGCACGAGTCTCTGGACGTCATCTTTTGTTTGTTACGTTACTAGTTTTGAATAAAAGTTCATTTTGTGAAATCTATTTTACCAATAAACACACTGTTTAGCAAATATATTCTTTACGACTTATTTTTTAATCAATTTTACTTTCCAACAAGTAAGTAAACCTTAATTACCGACAAAACTGCCGGTTAAGACTTCTGGCTCTGAGAGATCCTCAACACATTACTGAACCAGCTCCTGCAGTCAGTTGACGAATCAAGCTCAAAATTTTACTAGTAAGTGACACTGAATATCTATGCCAAAAATTACAAAGGTGCTTTTACCTTTCCTTTTCACAGTATAAATACTTAATGGATCTACTCAGCAGCGGCAAAAACATCGCAATAATAATAATAATAATATTTATTCACTCAATGTACAAAGATAACAAAAAATATGAGTAAATAAATATAAAATCAAAACAGGCCCAATAGAAGGCATCGCCTGTACATGGACCAAAAAAGGACAAAAATTAGCTACAGTAGATTATGTATTTAGTTGATGTTCGTATTTATGAGTTTATGAATTTCAGTCCTAGATATAGAATGTAGCCACTTTTTTAAATTTCTTTTGAAACAATTTCCGAAACGTAAATCTTTTAAGTCTTTAGGTAAAATTTCATAAAATATAGGCGCTAAATAGAGATATAATCGCTGCATTATAGATTTATGCGGTTGAGGAACTACTGTGCCACGAATTTTGTACCTGGTATAATGATTATGTTTAATTTTTTGGTCGGTGTTTACAAATTTATGGTAGTGAGTGATACTGTGTAAGAAATAAAGCTGTCTTATATCATACATTCGAACATCTGCATATAATTTTCCAGTGGGATAAAGTTTCGGTTTTTTAAATATCATTTTTAGAATACTTTTTTGAAAAACATCTAAATTATAGATATGTGAGGAACATGCAGCTCCCCATGCTAATATACCATATGTGAGATGAGGCTCAATCAGTGGATAGTATAATGTTCGAAGATATTTTTCTGTCAATATATTCCCAAGGTATTTAATTTTGTAGGATACAAATCTAACTTTCTTTAAAATATAATTGACATGGATGTCCCATCGTAAGTGAGGATCCAAGACCACTCCAAGGTATTTTATGTTGGGCACTCTATTAATTTGCATTTTTTGATCATTAATATTGAAGGAGAAATTTGTGTAATTTGGCAGATGTCTAGCATAAGATCCAAATGGTAAAAAATGTGTTTAGAGTAGTTAATGCTTAATTTTCTACTGTTAAACCACTGAATAATTTTGATAAAATCATTTTCAATTACATTTTTCAGATCAGACCAGTCGGTGCCTTCATATAATATTGCAGTATCATCTGCAAAACTAGTTATTTTGCCAACACAATTAATTTGGAAAATATCATTTAAATATATGTATATTGAATAACAGTGGACCTAAGACCAATTCTCTCCAATGCTTCTAATAATAATTTGTGATTAACTGTATCGAAAGCTTTCTTTAAATCAACAAAAATGCAGATTGAAGGGATTCTGTTATCAATATTTTGATATATTTGATTTACAATTTTAGTTATTGCGTCCGATGTAGCTTTCCCTTCTGTAAATCCATATTGATTTTCACTTAAAATTTTGAGTTTTGTGAGGTATCGAATCATTCTAGTAGATAAAACTTTTTCAAAAACCTTTGCTACACTGGATATTATCGATATTGGTCTATAGTTTTTAACATCTGTTTTTGTTCCTGATTTATGTATCGTATTATATTACCTTTTTTTAAAATTGAGGGATATATGCCAGATTCAAAGCATTTGTTGATTAGGTAAGTGAGTGGTTCTGTTATGTCCTCGGCTATAATTTTCAAATGCTCGCTTTTAATACCATCGAACCCAGGACTTTTCCGATTTTTTAAGGACATAACAGTGGTGTATACTTCACATTGCTTGAATTTATCCAAAATAAATGAGTTCAAAGTTCTTTTTGGAGGCTGAGTATTTTGTACATTTGCTTGTATATTACTTGCTAAATTTTCGCCTATGTCAGTAAAGAATTGTACAAATTCATCGCATATCTGTTGAGTATTTTTTAATACTGTTCCCGATGTTGTATTTAACTCAGTGACACACTCTTTAACTGTTGTTTTCCCAGTAATCTCATCAATAGTTGTCCAAAGCCGTTTAGGATCATTTAAGTTATTAATCCTTTGGTAATCCAGGCATTTCTGCTTTTCTCTTTGTGACTAATTATTACTTTATTGGTACTAATATCTATTAGTTTTTTTATTTCCTCTATGAACAGTCCCGTTGCTTTGTCTATATTATTTATAGAGTATAATTGTTCCCAGGATTCTTGTTTGACATTTGATATTAGTTTTGAATTGTCGACAATAGATGATAAACACCCAGTAAATAGTTAAACACCTCCCTATAATAGCGAATTCTTAACATATTCCAAGAAAATTCAGTCGATTGGGAAAAGTTAAAACACTTAACACGTGACGCCAGAAGCCTCGTCACCACAAACACTGAATTGAACGTGAATTAAAACTTGGTATGGAACTCCCCTCATAACCATTTGCAATTTAAATTACCCCCTGTAGTTCATCTGCAAAGGTAGTTGTTGCTTTCATAACAAGCAGCAACTTCAAACAAAAGCTTCTATCTCAACTCGACCGTATTGAAGCAAACTGAAACAACCAAGACCAAAACCAAGAACTATTATTTTATGCATATACAAAAGAAACAAGGCTGTCATCCTAAGTTCATCGTCGAGCAACGTGCGGTGGTATTTCCCTGATACGAAGTTTTACAGGTGAGATAACTCTCGGAAGTAAAGATGAAACAAAGCTTGAAATTAGCCAAGAGGAACGTCGGAGTTGCGCCAAAGTTACAATATTGCAGTTTCTCATTTCAGTTAATTTGGGAAAGTTGCAACTGCAAGAATTCGTCGCGCTCTGCTTCGAGGACAGCCGTCAAAGCGAAGTCCTGCTTTAGAGTACTGCAGATATGGTGTCGGCGTGGATTGGGAGTGAGGGTGAAGGATTACGGTGCTGTGGTGATATTTGCATGTCTAATTCCGACCTATACAGGGTGACTTCGAAGTTCAGTCATTTATTTTAACAGTGAGTAGATCTGATCAAAAGAAATGTTTTTTCCTTTACCATTTTTCTGGTAAAATTAAAGTAACAATGTTATAGCCCTTTGGAAGTTTGAGTACCGCCCTGTCTCAATAATAATATTATGTGCTCGTGTTTGGCAACAACGGATATAATCCGCCTTATCGGTTCATCGCATCGGAAACAAAAAAACGAAAGAATTTGGAACGATGTTTTTACAATTATTTTATTCAGTTGTATACAGTCAGTGTCAGTCGGTAACGCGTGAGTAAATAGTGGTGTCTGTTCCGTGGCTCAAACGAAATCAAAAATGGCACATGTTTACGAAAATGCTGAACTTGTGGACATGATTCTTATTTACGCGGCATCACGGATTTATGCGGATCGGTTTCCCAATCGAGTGCAACCAACGCCTCGTGCCTTTGTTAATGTAGTACAATGGGCTCGTGAATCAGGTGACTTAAGACCTCACAGGGGAGGGCATGCCGGTGCTCCAAGACCGCACGATCAAATACAGGTCCGTAATGAAATACTTGTCGGGAGGATACTTTATAAGGTAACATTTTCTTTTTAATTTTTTTTTTATTTTTGCACACATATTTTGGTTTATCTTCCTTCTACAATCATTATCTGAAAATTAATAACTCAACTTCAAAGTCACCCTGTATAGTGTATACTGTATATTACG